TTATGCATAATGTATAGTCAGTTTTATTAAATATTTTCCTTAATATCTTGACAAGTATTACATTATTTTCTTTAATCAGTATTCAATTCTCGAATATATATTATTCTACACCAACGATCACATGTACGTTTGTATATATATATTTGTGTGTAATAGTTTCTTTATTATATAGTCATTATCAATAAATTGTCTCTTATACTTTATTATAGCTTTCTTTCAGTCTATTCTTGATATGTTTGTAGTAAGTAGCCATTCCTGTTTCAGTACAAAGCAATAGTTTTTCTTTATATATTTCATGTTGTCATTAAGGTGCTTTATTTATAAATAAAAATGAACATGTGTTATTAATGAAGTATTAAATTAGTATGATTTCCAATTTTGATTTAAGTTACGTATTCATTTCTTCAAGACAAACAATTTCTGTTATAATTTTAAATTAGTTTTTTTTTTTTTTGTTTCTATTGTCATATGATTTGCTAGGGACTTTTATCCCTATTGACTGAATTAGAACTGCAATAGGCTTAAATGGGACTGATAGTATTTTAGCTTGTGCTTTAAGATAGGCAAAACTTAAATCTGTTTCTTTTATTAATATGTTTGAAATAGCCAGTAAACCGAGAATCACATTTCATGTTTGTAATTTTATATAATGTTTTGTATTTTTTTTATATAATAAAAAATTACTGGCACATTCCAAATCACTGATGCTGTGTGCCTGGGTTTGTTTATCATTTTGGATTTAGTAAAGTTATATAATACTTTTTCTTTTTAGTTAGAAATTATGGACAAACTCTTTTCTTGTCATAATTGTAATGGTACTTTTGAATAAAACAGAATATTGTTATGTTCTTCTTTTTTTTTATTTATATTTTAAAATATTTATCCTATCCCTAAATAAATAAAACTTTAAGATAACCAGAATAAAACCTTAATTAAGCTAACAGTCACGAATCTGACAGATTTATCCACTGATTAGAAATTTACAAGTGGGTATTAAAAAATTAATACATAAATGTATGTAACAAAAGAAGTTTATTGTATAACAGTTTTGAACATATATGAAAAATAAAAAATCATAATTTTTTTTTAGTATGCAAGATGATAACTTTTTTATTTAATAAAATGAATTAACATCAAGAAATGTTCATATTTAAATCAGATCTGAGCGGAAAGTATATAAATTACAACAAGTTTTCAATGGATAAAAAACTTCCATAAATTTGAGCTGCAATTGAATGAAGACTGTATATAAGGTACAATTTGTTTTTTAAAAATAATAATAAAAGGATAATATTCGGCTAAAAACTTGAAATTACAGTGCATCTGTGGAATGTGGAGAGACTGAAGGTGCGACCTACGCCCACTGTAATGTGACGTGTACTGATGCCAAATACGATACCATCAAATCTCTCTCAGTTCCACTTTATAAAAGCTATTACAATACTGTTTAAACTAAATATTTTTATTTAGAGGCGATAGGGTAAAAGAATTAATAAGAATGTATCTTTGCTTCAACTTCTTACTTACTTAATCCAGTCCTCTTTGTTACTGCTGAGCAGTGTGAGGTCCCTTCCTATAGAGCCTGATCCAAGAATCTCTATCCTGGGCCAGCTGTCTTCTACTCCAGTCCGTTCCTCTCCTGTCAAAGGCTTCTTTAATTCCTTCTTCCCATATTTTTCTTGGTCTTCCCTGTGGCCGCCTTCCTTCCACTTTGACCTCATAGGTAGCCCTGGCAACTCTGTTTTCAGCCATTCACGAGAAATTTCCAAACCAGTTAAATTGGTTTTCTTGGATAATTTCCTCTGCAGGCCTCAGGTCCAGATTAGCTCTTATGGTTGCATTCCTAACGTGATCTCTTGTTGTTTTCCCCTCTATTTTCCTTAAATATCGCATTTTCATAGCTTGGATTTGGCTTTTGTGCTTGGAAGTGAGGGTCCAAGACTCGCTTGCATATGTTAATATAGGGAGGTAGGTATTCTTGAAGACAATCTTCTTAGTGGCCTTTGAGACTTCCTTTTTGTCCAAGAAGACTTGAGGAAGTAGAAATATTTTCTATTAGGGGAGGTACGATGTGTCCCTGTGTCATGAAGTTCAGTACTACAATAGAACGCAAAAAACTGCTTCAACTTCATCAGGTCTAAAGAGAAAGCAAAACTATTATAGGAGTACAAAAATGATATGAGCTGACCGAGTTAGAGAATTATTGAGAATAAATATACATTTTTTTTTTGGATGAAGGTTTTGAAGCTTATTATTTATTTATTTACTTCCACCCTCCCATTCCACTTTGGCAATATGGGTGTATGCAATAGTGTGGTGTTGAGCATTTCATAATATCACACTATTGCAATGATAAAAGTTTCTTTTTTTTGGGTCCTCGCCTTGAGGCTATACGGGTTTTCCCGTGCCAAGTGATTTGGGCGGAGATTTTAAAGACTCCCCTGGCACCGGGACGCGAATTCATGACTAGTTTTTCTCATATATCAGGTTGCCGGGCAACGGCGGTGCTGTACACACTTGTTAGACCGTTCGTCTTCCCCGCCTACTCAGAATGAACAGCTTACAAAATTCATGGCTGTGTACATAGCTCTTTTTCCTTTTCATTTTTCAACCTGGCTTCCAAAATCCGGAGGTCTTCCCAGCACTGGTCCTCTTTTTCCTCACTCACCAACTGAGGAAACTCCTCGGTGAAGACGTAAATTCCCTCGGTTCTCATCAAGGTAGTATAAGATACTCAATGGTATGAGCTTGGCCCTGGCAGACCATGACACAGCTGAGTCACCATTCTTATGCTTTTTTTTTTTTTTAATTATCTTTGTTAATATGCATCATCCTATTTCTCGAAAAACAAAGGTGCAATTATGCAAGACCCTCATAAGACCAGTTCTCACTTATGCTTCCGAATGTTGGACATCACCTAGTTAATTATTTAAGGTTATGAACACTCCCGAAACGTACCTTACATTCAAAGTTCATATAAAGAAATTGAGATGTGTTAGTCAATTAAGAGTTGCAAATCCAGAACATATCAGAATTTATGCAAAAACCACAACTTTTTCGATTGAGTCTCAAGAAATTTGTATATTATGCAGTCAATTTATCTACAATAGTCTACATCACATTCTCCTTCAATGCCCAGCATACAATGACTATAGACAAACATTCCTCCATAACTTCATCTCAGAATCTTCTGATAATCACAACATCGAAACTATATTGAATACCGACTGTATAGATAAAGTAAACATAGTTTACTATTATATGATGGGAGTACACAAAGTGCATACACAAAATTGTTGATCATAGCCTATGTTCTATTAAGTGTTTGTTTTTACTTTATGCTAAAAGTAATATTTTGTTTGTATATATAAATATTTTTAATTTTTATTGTTCTATCATAGTAACAGGTTCATTTAACTATTATTATGCAGTAATCGTTTTATTTTTTTAATTTTTATTGTTTTTCATGCTTTTTAAACCCCATTATAAACGTAAAATATTGTAAAGTTTATTTATATTTAAATGATATGTATGTAACTTTTAAAACTATATTATTCTACAATAGCCAAGCTAGGCTCTATTTGTATGGGGAATCCCCCAAAAACAAATGAAAATTTCTTTCTCTCTTTCTTTCTAAGGTTATGGACACATAATGACTTTCTGCAATTAACTGATAATATACATTAGCATATAAATTCAGGTCTTAGTTACAACCTAATACGTCTGTACCACTACAACCCATGAAGGTTCTTGGGTTCAGTACTTTTTAAAGAACTTCTTTCTTTAAAAGAAGTACCGTTTCAAGGCCATCAGGCCAGAATCACTCTACCGCCACATTTCCTCTTAATTAATTATTTGATTTAGAGTATTTATAGAGGCTGGATGTGCCCCAGGGAGGGTCTCCTAACCCAAGGATCTATCCACGGCTGATGAAAAATTACGTGTCATCAACCGGATTCGAACCGAGGACCTTGAGCTTGAGAAGTCAGTATTTACCTACTGAGCTACCCTGCTCCCTACAGCCTAATATTCACCGACGAATACAAATTGAAAATTCATGCACCCAAGTAAGAGTGGTCAGCTTTATAGAGGCAGGATGTGGACCTGGAGTGTCTCTCAACGTTTATCTATGACGGATTAAATGATTATCTGCCACATCCGGACTCGAACCCAGTTACAGGATAGCACATACAAAGTTCCTTACTCACTGAGCTACCCCATTCCCCACTGTATGAGTCATAGAAATGGTTACAACCATTATAGAAAATTTGAAACAATTATAAAGCCATGGAGATTTTTCAAAGATGCTGACACCATAAATCAGATAAATTAATATTATGCTTTGCTATATTAATAAAAATTTAAATTTATATTACTCTCCCGTACCAGACTGAAACGACTAGAAACCGTCCGACGTTTTCGACTACTGCAGCACTTACTAGACAAACGCTCTAAGCTTTCAACCAATTACAAACGACTCATATATATGACAATAATAAGATCTATTTGGACTTACGGAATCAAGCTTTAGGGCTTCACTAAACTATCGAATTCCTCTTGTATCCAATCCTTACAATCCAAAATCCTTCGTAAAATCCTGAACGCTCCTTACTTTGTCACAAATAAAATCATCCATAAAGACCTTAATGTTCCATATGTTTCGGATTTGGCCCAATCCAGATACCTATCCTTCCATAACAAACTGCAGAACCATTCGAATCCTCTCGTTTCAAACCTTGCTTCCTCCTCGATCCCTGATAACCCTCTGAGGCGTCTGAAAAGAAGATGACCTTCTAATATAGAACTTTAATTTGAGTTCTACCAATGGGTAGTTTCTCTTCATGTTGTACATGTCATGTTACCAATGTCACATTTACTTGTTGTATTTTCTATGTAATACAGTTGTAAATTTCATTAAAATAAAAAAATAAATTTATATTAAATGCATTTTTGTATGTAATATTTAAACATCAATAATTAAATTTATTATTTCAATATAGGGTACCTTTATGTGCTGTTCTATCCATTCTCTTTGGCTGGATATGGTTGAATGCTCTTACTACTCCCGAAGAGCACATAACTACCCATTATGCAATAGGCGTGTGGTCGATATGCATCAGCTGTATGATGGAAATGTGTATAGAGCCAATTTATTTGGTGTCTCAGGCATTCCTTTTTGTCAAATTGAAGGTAAGTATTAATAAAATAATATACTGTAGGACACATGCTCGCACTCAAGCCAAGAAGCGTTAATTCAAATTGTGGTAATTTTATATTAAACTCCCATGTTTAATAATAATAAAAATCACATTGTAAGTCTAAAAAGAAGGTGAAACTATTTCAGGAGTTTAAGAATTATATGTAGAATAACTGACATATTGGAAAAGGCACTAAGTACATTTTTGATAAATCTAATTTAAAAAACGTTTCATTGTATGATAAATTTTAACTTTTGCACTTCAAAACACTACCAACTGTTGTTAGTTTTAGAGCTAAACTGTGTTCAAAAGATTAGAAAAGATGAAAAAGCTGTGGAAGCAGGTAGGCAAAGGTTTGAGGTCAGACCCTTCGCCCTAAAAGATATCTGCAACTAAATAATACATCTTACGCTATCTAGTGCAACAACTTATGAGCCGGAGTATTGGTTTTGCATATCTAAAGGTTTAAGGTCATGGAATTTCACTTAATGACTTTTTATAATAAACCAACTAGATAAATTGATATAGAGAAAATTTAATATTAAGAATTAGACATAAAAATATATATATATATATATAATTTAATAATTTACAAAAGAATATGAGTATGGTAAACTGACGAATAAATATACTGAACAAGAAATGGAAGTATAAGGAATGAACACCTACATTTTGTGTCGAAACATTGGTGTTAAATAAATATTATTTTTTTGTTGACCCCTCTTATCATACATCTCTCGATATATTTAATACATTCACATTGTAATGTTATGAGAAGGTGGTTTATTTTTGCGTAAGCTTCATACAATAAATTATTTTGATTAAACTTCAACGAGGATGGTCAAATGATCTTACTTTGTTTTTAGAATGTTATTGAGAATGGTTCATATCTGTTATTTTGTTTCTTAATTGGCTAATAAATAAAATGCCTGATTATTACTTTCCTACCTATACTAGGGAAGAAAAGTATTGCGAGCAGGTCATATTTCTGATATGCGGTTTTCGATGGCTCTATTGGTTTCAGAGTCCTCTGAGTCCGATTAACACATTTTCAGCCCCTGTCTGCCTGTGCCAATATTATCTCGGGAACTAATAGACCGATTTTGTTGCTTCTTTTTTTATCTTGTGGGGTTTTGACTACTGATGCCTGTGACACAAATTGGATGGCTTACACAATAATTGAAAAATATTTTTCTATAGACTGTAGCGTAAAAACGGCACTAATGATTTTGATGAAACTTTCCTATAATTTTCTAATTAATGTTCTTTCAATTTTTTTACATGTTCTAAATTCCCAAGAGAATTCAGTTTAAAAAAAAAAAAAGATAAATGTTTTTGGGTCTAACTCTAAATTAATTGTTCTATGCTAAAATTGATATACAAACTTTTGAAAGATAATTAAAAATCCTTCATTTCGGACAATTACTAACGATGATACAGCTATTAAATTTCTTATGTAAGATTATGAGTTCAAAAAAGGACCTACAAAGTGCTAGAAAGGAGAGAGTGAAAAATGAAAAGTAAGTGAAAGTAAAAAAATCTAGTGCCCGCATAACTTAAGTTTCACTACTTCCTCTACTTTTAACAGAAATTATTGTCTGAAAAAGTTTTTGATTGGCAATATTAGAGTGTATTGAATTTTTTATATTGATCTACCACAAACCATTTTACATTGCTTTAGTTAATCAAAGAAATCGTACTCAAATCTTTCTTTGATCAATTTTCAGAAAAATAAATCTAATTCTAATTTTTTTTTTTTTTTTTTTTTTTTTTTTTTTTTTTTTTTTTTTTTTTTTTTTTTTTAATGGATATATGTAAAGATATAAAAACTTTTCTGCAATAGGTAGGAAAGTCGTGTGAGTGGACACACCAGATTATTTTTATTTTGTATTGTCTACTTACCTTGTAAATTTTACAATATAACAAAGTAACTTAGGGTAGGCTAGATTGACAGTGCTTGTGGTCTCTAGTTTTAATAACTTTCTAACCATTAAATTCGACCTTTCAATCAGAAGTTCTATTTAGGTTCTGAAAAACGTCCATGAAAGTTGACCAGTATTTTGGTAGAAAATTACCTAAATGTTGATAACAATACAATATCAGCCAGGCGTATCTGGATATTTCTGATAATAATGGTACGGGTCTTGGGGAAAGAGTACTTTGAACAAAATAGTCGTACGGATATGGAAAATAGAGTTTTATCGGGACTATTGCATAAGCCTATTCTATCAGTATAATATGCCAATGCTTCTGACACTTAGACCTGGGCACTTTTGAAATAATTTATTTCTGAAATAAATCAGATGGTTATTCCATGAATGAATTATTTCCGGAATAATCGTTACTTCTGAAATAATATTTCAAACTGTCAATGAAATAATCTCGATGGAATAACTGCTAAATTTATTTCTGAAATAATTATTTCAATATTTTAACATTCTTTGGAATAAGGTAAATTATTTCGAAATGAGTTATTTCTGAAATAAATTATTTCATAACTATTATTTCAGAATTATTTATTTCATAAATAAATTATTGTAAAAATCAAGAAATTAATATTTCAGAAATAACATAAAAAATTTGACAACTATTTTTCTAATAAGACCCCCCCTTCCCCCTCCGAAAACATAACAGTCGACCTGAATATCGATTATATCTGAAAAGTCGATCAGAATGATTATTTCACAACATTATTCCTGAAATAATCATTTCAGAAATAATTTTATCATTATTCCTGAAATAAATTATTTCGGAAATAACTATTGAGGTTTATTTAACGATTTATTCCGGGAATATTTTTCAAATAAATTCTGCCCAGGTCTGCTGATACTCATGTTGTTAACTGGTAAAGAAAAGGAGGGGGAAGTTTTTTAAGCCAATAGGAAAGATATTAAATTTTTTTTTTTCATTAAATCTTCAAAGTTTTCTAAGGGTATATATTACTAAATAAAGTTTATAATATTGAGGAAAAAGAAAATTATTTTAACCCTAACACATTTTATATTAATGCTTTAATTCATTTTAACGTTTCAACGACATTTTGGGCAATTTTGCTGATTTTAAAATTGAAAATTATATCTATAATATAAATCACAATAATTATATATATATATTCTTTTTTTTTCCTTTCAAAGTAACCATTTGAAAGGACCGTTTATTATGGTGCATTCCATACAAATGTATACTATGCACCTTAATTACAACATTTTATTAAATAATATTAACATTAACTAATTAGAAACATGATTCAATTCAAACATAATAGTTAGTGTAAACATAAATAAGAAAAAGATACAAAATTCAATGAACACAGTTCTTAAAATTACAAAAGTTCTCATATTTCTTTATCATAATTTTTTTTTATTTAAGTTTTATTTCTAAAATTGAACTTTATAAGTTATAAAAAATTCATTATACACATACTAAGGCTTTATATATTGATGGCTTTGATTTGAAAATGGGTTCTTGAAAGAAGATAGATATAGTTGTACATTTTCTTTATAAATTAATATATTATACAAAATTATGGGTGACTTTATTACCTTATGCTTACCATTTCTTCAGTTTTTTGTTAGTTGGTCAAAATCTGGACTACTCAATATATATGTAAACAAATATAACAGCACTTAAAACAATAAAATGGAAATCCAAAAAATCATTTCAATGAAATATTTCTTTACTTACAATATGATTATATAATCCATCTAACCACAATTTTATATCATTATTGTAAAGTTGTTTCCTTAAAATGAAAGTCATATTATACAATTTATAAATTCTTTTTATGCAGTCAAATCTAAAAAAACGATTCAAAAGAAAAAAAGCAAACAAAAGTATCACAAATAAGAAAAGGCCAAAAAACAAACATATTAATTATTGTTTATTATATAATTTATCTGTAGACAGTCAAAAAATAAAAATTGTATGAAAAGTATTCCAATGTTAAAACATTTTTCTCCTATTTAAACAGAAGTCTAATGTCCAGTGTGATCTGTGGTCTTACCCCTCATTTTGCTCATTGCTTAAGAGTACTTTATTTTAAATGATTTTAAGTTTCCTATTTTAATAATAATTTAGCTAAAAAATTATTTAAAATTCTAATTTATTTATTGTATCTAAATAATGTTGTCCAATTTGTTTTAAAATTAATAACATTTTTAAGTTATATTAATTGATACCAAAAGTTTCCTTATTTTATTATCCAAAGGCCTATTTAAAATTTCTATTTTCTCATAATCAAAAATATGATTATTCAAAATACTATGTCTTGCTGTCACATTGATATTTTTTGGGTTATTAAATCAATGATTATTTTATTGTTAATAATTATTTTTTAAAATTATTAATAATTTATTTTAGGTATTACTTGAGACTTTGCACGTCGTAGTTAGAACTGTTACTTTTACCTCCTTGGTTCTTTGGAAACCGTCAGCAGCTGTGTTAGCTTTCTCCGTAGCTCAAGTTCTGGCAGTCGCTGTTTTCTGTTTGGCTTACATCATTTACTTTCACCATTTCATCAAAACTAAAAGCCCTTCAGAAGATTTCCCATTTTCATCGTTGAAAGATTTTCTTCCTAAAAGGATAGAAAATGAAGTATGTTTATAGTAATACTAATAGGATGTATAAAAAAAAATGACAGTTTTATCAAATTCAAGATTTCAAAGGACTATAAATATTTTAATCCTACTCAATACTTAATAATCTCTTTAGAGCATTCTCTAACCTTGTTTAATCCCATTCGAATTCTTCAAAAAAAGCCTCAGTTTAGTTATTTGTTTCAAGGAAGAAATATGACAGTATCCTACAAAATTCTCATAATTATAAGGCATTACTGAAAAAAAAGTTCACAGCCACTGGAGTAACTCATTAAATTATTAAATATGAAAGGGAAGTTGTCCTTGACCAGCACACTGCGCAGTGTTGATTTGAAAAATTTAGCAGAAGAGATACGACGGTGGAAAGGAAAAGGGGTTCGGGCAACCATTAATGGATATTGATGAGGTTCTGCAGAAACTGTTGTGTCAAATCCGTCCACAAGTACCCGTGAACTTGCCAGGGGGTGTGGTGTGTCAAAAGATACTATTAGTCTGCATCTACTCTCCATGGAGAAGGTAAAAAAGAACAGTAGACTGGTCCCTCACGAACTTACTCCACAGAAATCAGCTAAGAGGTTAAATATTTGTTAAAATTTATTGTTAAAACCCCTGCCTCATCCACTATATAGTCCAGACTTAATGATGGTAGATAAAACTGAACTATACTTAAGAGTATTAATTGTATTTTATATCAAAGAAATAATAATACAAATATTTGGTTGAAAAACGATCATTTTTTTTTATACACCCTATTATTATAAATATACAAATTTTTTAAAACTTTTATTAATATTGACGATGAAAATATATCATATTTTAGGACTTAGTTGACTTAAGGTTATGTGTACTTACCTGGAGCTTCTTAAAGCAGGGAATATTGAAGCAAGTATTGACGGAAGGGGAACGCTATATAATGACTCTTTTTTCTGTACTTACATTCTACGAGCAAGGAATTTATGATGTAGTTAACAATCTTGGATCTTTGGCTGCAAGGTTCATTTTTCGTCCTGTTGAAGAAAGTTCTTATTTTTATTTCTCTCAACTAGTTCACAGAGATAAGTCAATAAAGGAACAAAATGAGGTATTTATTGCTTTTAATATTTTCTTTTCTAATGTCAAATTTTTAATTAATAATGAATGAAACAGTATTATGTAATTGAAAGCAATGACATCGTATTGATTTGATATGAACTGTAGTGCGTTTTGCACTTTTTGTGGAGAGTGAATTAGATTGATCAGTCAGATTTTTAACGCTCAGGTAAAGTAGGCTATAGTTGACTAATTGAAATGTTTTTACATATGAATTAAAATATCTCAGAAATTAAAAATCGGGCCTGAATACTGTATGTGAGGAAATTGTTCAGCATTTCATCCTCTCTGTAATAAGCTATAATTCAAAATTGTATCTTAACACGATGCTGTGTTAAGGAGGTGAAAAGGAAAAAATAGGGCCTAAAACCAATAACTAGATTAGTTAAATATATGGATTAAAATATTTCAGATACTAAAAGTCGGATCTGTGTACTACAAGCAAGGGAAATGTTTAGTGTTTCATCTTTTTTGTAATGAGCTATTATTCAATTCATTTATATTCATTAAGGACATTTTTAGGTTGACCTTGCTTTGATGTCTTTATTTTATGTAATAAAGTTTGTTATTAACTTTAAAAAATTCTTATTAAACTGATTAATCCTTACTACACTACAATATACCTAGAATAGGTATTGTAGAATTACATTACAATACATTAGAATATGTATTGTAGAACTACAATACATGGATTAGTCAAGTTACATAAAAGTGAATGAATGAATGAATGAAAATAATTTTATTATTCTGGGGCTAGTGTCCCTTTAGAACAAGTCACAAATACAGAATATATATTAATATTTTGGTGTGTCCATGAAATACAATTTAATATTTACAGGTTGATTTGGAGTGCAATAAAGTTATAAATGATAAAAAGATATAAATACGTGTAAATATAAAATATACAGAGAAAGTAATTAAGTGAACGAATTACAAAATAATCAGACTATCTGAATGTAGTTTGAGGTTTTTACAGCTTAGGTTTTTAAGTGCATTTCGTGATCAATCGGTTTGGGAATGGAGTAGGTGTTCGAAGAGGTGAGATTTGAAGGAGGATATCGATTTTGCGCGTCGGATATCTGAAGGTATAGAGTTCCAGAGGGAGACAACTTGTATTAAAAAGGATTTATCAAATGCAGCAGTTCAGTGAGGAGGAGGATAGAGGTCGGACATACTGGATCTGGTGGGACAGGATTGAAAGGAGTGTTTGAATTGTAGGATCTGTAGAATATAGGCAGGTCGCCGTGTTGTAATGGCTCGGTATAGGAAAATGGCGCTCCACTTAGTCGTATCATTAGTAATATCAATGGGGATACTGAAAAAATTGGCTAAATATCTCGATTCCACACTCAATAACCTAAAATCAGATAGTAACAATGATGTAAAAAAACTCAATGGATCAAATGCTTGAAAGAATAAATAAAATAGAATATATGTATTGTTTAGTCACTGTTTCCAAAATGTTTTTAATTTGATTTGATTTAATGATAACATTAAAGCTTGACAATAGCTACTGAACAAAAAAGAAATGTTTTTCAGTTATATCTTATATAGGTTTTTTATGAGGTTTTTCCTATTATAAAAAATGGATTTCAGTTTTTCTAAACAGCTTTCATACCACTAGTATGTCATTTATAAGGTTACTGCAACAAAAAACATGTAATTTATCATCAGGACATGATGTAATATATATATTTTAAAAAAAGAAAATTGGTTGAGAAACAGAGGAAAAAGAATTACTTGACTCTTTTATCTTTGCCTATTTATTTAATAATAATTATTGAAAATATTTTGTTTTGTTAATTTTAGGAACAAATGAAAGAAGCTGCTACAGTCTTAAAACAGTTGCTAAGGTGCATGAGCAGTTTAGGATTGCTCATAGTCTGCTTCGGTCAGAGCTATTCAAGACTTTTACTTATGTTGTACGGTGGCCAAACTTTGGCGGACAATTTGGGAACTTTATTACTCCGCACTCATTGTTTTGCAGTTCTGTTATTAGGCCTCAATGGCATCTCCGAGTGTTATGCCTTAGCGACAATGAGTGCTTCCCAGCTAGATAGGCAAGTAATATTTTTATATCAAAACTTTTTTTTTTTGAAATAATAATAGGGTAAGCGCGCCATTGATGGACATAGCTAAGGAATTTTTTTGGCTTATGAAACCGTAATTATTATAGAGAGAAAGAGAGAGAGAGAATCACTTTATTATCATGAAAGGGTGCTGCCCAATTACATTGGGTTGCTTTAAACACAGCATACTTATTAATCGCTACAGACAATTTTCCAAAACTAATATACAATTATATAGTATTAACAACATGTATGAGCATAATATACAATTTTTTTTTTTTTTTTTTATCTATATATATATATTTTTTATCATAATTTTTTTTCCTATATTTTTATTTATTTATTTTATTTTTACTATTTCTTTAATTCACTTAATAGCATTATACATCCCTTTCTGTTCCTTCTCTCACTCTATACATTTTTCTCGTTCCCTAGATTTTCTCCTTTCTTTTCCTAACCTAATTTATAACATGCATACAAATACATAAAGTGCAGTGGACGTGGTCAATAAATAATGTAAAAATGCTGTAAAACACGCATGCCTCCCCCCATGGACAAACTCTCTATCCATGCACATGGTGATGGATAATTCCCAGGGAGTCAAGGATTATGTTCTCTGCCAACCTTGCCATGTCCTTTATGTCGACACCAAGGCCCTCCATGAAGCTCCTTGTTGAGTCTGGTATCGTTCCGCGAGCTCCGAACCAAAGGCCTCTCACGTGGAACTCTCTCGGCCCGAAACTCTTGTGAAACTTTTCACTAAGGAAAGGGATGCATTTCTCATATGTCTGTTTTTTCTCCCTTTCCACTTTTCCTGCCTGATCGAGGTCGTTGGTAGATCTTTATTTAACTATAAAGATAACGATACAGATAAGATAAGATAAATGTTCAACTTACTCTGAACAAAATTGTTAGTAGGAAGGTATAAAACACACTGATCTCAATAGCATTATAGAAACAACAATGATAGGCATTTTAAAATTTTCTTTTGGGAACTTTGTTAATACAGATGTCGATAGAGAGTATTGTTCTTCAATCTAGAAAAAACTGGAAAATCAACAAGGAAGTTTATTATTTACATTTAAAGTCGTTCCGGATGGTGTGCACCAATGTGGTGTGGTAGGCCAAAGGGTGGATGGAGGAATGCTGTGGGGCAGGATCTGCGACAACTGAGGATTCGTGTTACCCTTACAGAAGATAAAAAGAGATGGTTGGCAGCTGTTGAGTAGGTCAAGGGCAGCTTCATAGAAAAAGAAGAACAAATTTTTATTATGAGCCCCAGTATGCGCTACATCAATCCCATTGGTGTTATCTACAACACTGTTGCTAAACATGATACTGTCAAACTTCTCTCAGCTCTACTTTATAAACTTCCATTTATAAAATACGTTTTAAACTAAAAATTTTTATTTAGAGACAACAGATTGAGAGAAAAATTAAAAGATATTTCTTGGGTAGAAGTTTTGATGATAGAAACACTAATCTAAGTTAAAAAGTGTAAGTTACTCAACAGTATGAGCTAAGGCCGGATAGCCTATGACATAGCCATGTGTCTATTCTCATGACATAGCTGTGCATCACCACTGTTGAAAATTCATTTAAGGACTACATTTCACTATTGTGTATCTTGTCAATTAGTTTTGAAAAACTAATATGATATTTAACATTTTAAAAAAATGTGTGAATATATTAATAAATCTATTATTTACAGGTATAATTATGTAATGGTCTTCCTTTCTGTTGGATTTTTATTCTTTTCTTTGATATTTACGTATGTTTTGGGAAGTGTCGGATTTATCATTGCGAATTGTGGCAACATGCTAGCACGTATATTTCACAGGTAATTCATTTCATGTACTTAACATCAAATACAATTGAAGTAAATTTTATTTTTAATTAATTAAACATATGGTTCATTCTTTAATTGGTTTTAAGCCAAGGATCACCAAAAAAATTGTTTTCTTTACTATCCTTTTATTGTCAATGTTTCGACTTCATGAGCCATTTTGAAGTATTATCTATAATACATCTTCTTTAATTTTTAAAACAAAATTGTCTTTTGTTGATCAATGTTAGATCAAAAATAGTATTCTGTTTAAAAATGACAAAAAAAAAAATTTAAAGAAGGCACATACAGGTAATACTTGAAAATGGTTCATGAAGCAGAAATGAAATAATAATAAAGAAAGACATTTTTTTGGTGATTCTTGGCCTAAAATCAACTTAAATATAAATAATAAAATCGCCCAAAAATAAAAAATATACATAGATAGGTTAATTTATTTTAATTTTTCTCTGAGCTATTTACACAAAAATTAGTTATTGGTAATGCTTGATTTTGTACATCTGGGAAAATAATTGTAGGTTAAAGGGAATAAGTGTATTTTTAGGAAAGATTGATTTATTGCTAATAATGATGGAGTAAGGTGATATATTATTAATATTTCTTCTTTCTATTCACACAAATTCAATAGTTGGTTGATAGTCGAAATAATAGAAATGTCCATTGACAATAAACATCACCATAGATACAGGTAATTTGAATTCAGTTTTCTTCTTCTTCATTTTTGAGTCATTATTGGTGTATAGAGCTCCCCCATCCAGCAGAGTCAGTCGTCTTGGTTGAGACACATCCTCTTCATTTGAGCCAGTGTTTTTCTCTCTACTTACTCGTATTCTTTATACATATTTCTTGTAAAGAATTCTCTGTTGACCTCGGAATCTTTTGATGGGTGAGCTTTCATGACCTTTCTGCATAGCCAGCAAATATGTCCGAACCATTTAAGCTGTCATTTTTGAAGGGAGGTCTTCAATTCTATTACTTTTTGCTGATCAATTATACTCTTATTACTTCTTGTTTTCTGAACCACTCTGTGCTGGTATTTCATTTCTATTCCCATGATTCGGCTGTTGTGCTTGTCGAGCTTAGTTGCTTTTCCTACATTCCGGTAGCCAATTATGCTTTTGAAAATCTGGTAATATATTAGGTTTGCTTTAATAATTCTGTTTCCAATTTCTTCATCTATTTTACCAGACCTACTAATAATGGTTCTTAGAGAAAGTGGTCCACCATATGATGGTGAAGTAATAGAATAAATAATTAGCCACCCTCGAACCTTGGTTCTGGAGTGCTTTACTCATTCACTCATTCATAAAATAATTAACTACACGTTTTGTTTGTTTATTATTTTTGTAGTTTTTAATGTATCTTAAAATGTGAATTATATAAATTTTTTTTAATATTTTTTTTTAATTTTAGTTCTGAATCTGTATATATGCATGTTTATTTCACCTGAGTTTTAAAATATAAATGAGAAATATTTAAATTTAAGATTATATGTTTACAATAAATCAAAAACTAATTCCCGTCATTCATTTCTTACTTTTTCATAGTTTGAAATTCATTAAAAAGCGTTACACTGGTACTCAATATGATCCAGTTAAAGGAATCGTTCCTGGGAAATGGTACCTTCTTGCAGTAGCTACTTCTGGGCTTGTCACAATTATGTCAGAGGTTTGTATTTTCTAGAGTAAACTTTGTGATTTATCATTTTGACAATGTATTAAAAACTAAGATGTAAAAAGGAAAAATATTAAAAAATTATCAGTTTTAATATTATGTATTTAGGGAAACAATAGTTTTTTTATTAATGAAGAGTAACTATGATTTTATTTTGTTACCTAATTATGTACGTTGCTCATTCTCCCATAAGGAGTCAAATGGTATTGTCCAATAATTTTTTTTTTCCATGTTCCATCTTAACCTTCATATCATATTGATATTGATTGACCAGTTTCTGTAAGCAGTTCTTTATTGGGCTTTCTTCTCCTTGTGTTATTACTCTGATCCCAGATTGCTCCGATTATCATGCGGAGGATTTTCCTCTCAAATCTTTCTACACTTTTTTCTAGGGTGCTGGTTAGTGTCCAGGTCTCACAGCCATATATTAGAACTGCCTTTATCACAGCATTGTATACCCTTAATTTGAGATTGTTTAGGATTTTAATAATTTTGAAGGAAGAAGAAAACTTAATGTGGGCTAGTTATACTCTGATCTATTTCTGCCCGTTGGTCATTAATTGAAGTTATAATGGAGTCGAGGTATTTGAATTTTTCTATTCTCGGGAATGATTTCCCTTCTACGCAGATCCTGTTATTTAGGTGGAATAGTTTCAGTATATTATCATATTTTTTGTTTTGTCTTCATTTAGTTGTTGGGCGATTTGCTCTGCCTCTCTTAGTCTTTGGAAGTTTCTCAATGTCCTCTGGATCACTTCCAAGAACATCTGTATTATCTGTGTTATGCAATATTATTAATGTTTTATTTTAATTTAAATTTAGATGTTTTTGTAAGTGAGTCTTTTTTGCTGAACCGTAAATCTGTGAGGCGTATGTCCAAATGGGTTTGAGCAGGTAAGTGTATGTATTTAGTTTGTGTCTAATTTTCAATTTTGATTTAGAAAACAGTGAGTATAGTATTTTCAGTCGCATGTTCAAAGTCTTTCTTTTCATTTTGACGTGTGGGCCCCAGTTCATCCTTCTGTCAAATATTAGTCCGAGGTAGCGTATAGCGCCCGTCTGAGGAATTGGATTGTTGCTGATATAACTAAAAGACTCACTTACAAAAACTACAATCCTTTCAATCTAAAATTTTAAACTGCAGCTAATAACTGCAGCTCCCTGGTACGTCAACAACAAGACTTTACATACCGACCTAAGACAACCAACCATTGACCAGCACATACGTACTCTTTACTCCCGATTTCATCTTAAACTACTTGGACATCACAATGGACTTATCAACGACATGGCCACGCCTGAAATGCTCATCAGGAGGCGACTGAAAAGGAGCTGGATGAGAGATCTCCTTTCCTGATTTCAGGATGTAAACAGGCCAGGGAAGAGGTGCTGCTGGGCTCCATTCTTCCTCATGCCTATCATGCCATTTTCAACTTAACCGCAAATCTGCTAATTGTCACTACCATGACAGGTGCAGATGAAGAATTAAAGACAAAAAAAAAATTTAGATGTTAAAGAATAAAACGTTATAGCCTAGGGTTGTAATCCCAGCTGACCTCCCTTCTCATGAGAGAGGAAGAAGAAAGCTTGGTTTGAGTTATACGCTGATCTATTTCTGCCCGTTGATCATTCATTGAGGTTATAATGGAGCCGAGGTATTTGAATTTTTCTATTCTCGGGAATCATTTCCCTTCTACGCAGATCCTGTTATTGGGGTGGAATTTTAGGCTTATATTTTATTCTGTCTTCTTTTACTTGTAGGCCAATCTGCTCTGCCTATCTTATCAGAGTTTTAGCGAGTTTCTCAATGTCCTCTTGATTACTTCCAAGGACAGCTATATCATCTGCGTATCCAAGGATTTTATGATTCATTCCAATTTGGGCCGCTCCATTTTCTTGTGATGTTGCTCTTGTTACCTTCTCCAGGGCTAAGTTGAACAACATCGGTGGTAGTCCATCTCAGTGAACTATCAAACTTTATCTATTTTCTACAAGAGTTAATTATTTGATTAAATTACTTGAAATTTAGAAAAAAAATAAGTGTTGTCAAAATGCCATTCGTTCACCTTGTCCAGATCTAATCTTTTCGAATTTTTATATTATATTAAATTTTTTATCCCTAAAAATCATATTAAAATTGTTAAACTTTCACTAACATTTAATTAACTATTCTAAATCAAGAAAATAACTTCATTTTTTTGCCAGAGTAGGTATGGTAAAAGTAAGAGCTGAAGAAACTTGTGTCTGTAGGTTTAGTGTCATTTGTTTACCTCGTCAGTTTTATTTAGTTTTTGCTGGTTCAGCTTTCCTCACTCACTTATTAGTCCGTGGTACTCCCTCCTTTTTATCAAATTATTATCATCCACTTAATACTTCGTGAATGCCTTCCATCTTGCAACATGCAAATTTTTTATCAATGAAAATTCTCAGAAATGGGGTGTTTTCTCATTAAATCGATTAATTTAATGAGATACTAAAACTCATCAATACCCATTCGATTTCCACTTAAATCATAACATAATATGATCACAAAATGGAAAAAAAAATCTGTTGTGTTCATTCACACCACTTTCCTACCTATTTCAAAAAAATGTTTATATCATAACATTAAATATTTTCATTAAGAAACAAAAAAAAAATTAATTAAAGCATTAATAAAATGTACAAGGGTTAAAAATATTTTTTTTTCCTCGATATTATAAACTTTATTTAGTAATATATACACTTAGAAAACTTTGAAGATTTAATGAAAAAAAAATAATTTAACATCTTTCCAACTGGCTTAAAAGGCTTCCCTTGCCTTTTTCTTTACCAGTTAACAAAACGAGTCTCAGAAGCACTGGCATATTATACTGATTGAATAGGCTTATGCAATTTTTGCCGATAAAACTCTATTAATTTATTTTTTCATGTTTTTGTTTATATAATGATGGTGGACAATTGTTCACTGTTGGAAGATATTGTTGAAGGGAAGATGGTTAGTGATTGCTTTCCCCTTTTGCTTTTTTCCATATCCATACCACTATTTTGTTCAAAGTACCCTTCTCCCAATATCTGGTACCATTATTATCAGAAATATCGAAATGCACTTGGCTGATATTGTATTGTTACCAACGTTTAGGTAATTTTCTACCAAAATACTGGTCAACTTTCATGGACGTTTTTCAGAACTTAAATGAAACTTCTGACTTAAAGGTTGAATTTAATGGTTAGATACAAGGTTATTAAAACTAGAGTCCACAAGCACTGCCAATCAAGCCTACTCTAGCTTACTTTGTTATATTGTAAAATTTACAAGGTAAGTAAACAATACAAAAAAAAAAAAAAAAAAAAAAAAAAAATGAAATTAGATTTATTTTCCTGAATATTAATCAAAGAAAAGATTTGAGTACGGTTTCTTTGATAAACTAAAGCAATGTAAACCAACTTGTGATAGATCAGTGTAAAAATGTCAATACCCTCTAATATTGCTGATCAAAAACTTGTCACACAACAAATTCTGTTAAAAGTAGAGGAAATAGTGAAGTTAGTGGGGTAACAGATTTTCTTACTTTCACTTATTTTTCTTTTTTTCTCTCTCATTCACCCCTTCCTGAAACCAGGAACAATTTTAATATAGTTGTGTAGGGAATTTCAATACCTTTAAAAAAAAAACAGGATAAACAGTGTTTTTTTCGGACTCTGGAGCTCTGAAACATATAGATCCGTTGAAAACCGCATATCGTAAATTTGACACGATCGCAGTACTTTCCTTAGTATAGATAGGAAAGTAATAAATTAAAGCTTGTAGAAAATTATAAATTTTACCATAAAATATATACTTAGCAAGTTATGCCCCAAAACATTTTTCTTTCCTTTATAACTTTTTTCCTGAATTTTCTCGGGAATTTAATACGTGTACAAAAATTGAAAGAACAATTATTAGAAAGTTTAGACATTATAGGAAAGTTTCATAAAAATCGTTCTAAAAAAAATATGTTTTTTAATTATTGCGCAGGGAGCACCCAATTTGTGTCACAGGCATCAGTAGTCAAAATCCTACAAAATAAAAGAAGTTTTCTAGATAAAGTGGTTGTTGTTTACAATGACATAAAGCTATTCACGAAGTTTTATGCAGGTGTTAATTTGATAAAAAGAGGTGTGTACCATGGACTACATCTTCTGCGCCAATTGCAGGATAAACTAACAGGTTATAAGTTCCAGGACCTGTCGAAACTATTCAGTCAAGTCTTGCTTCTCAATTTTCAAAGATATCAGTGAATCTGAATTTTTTCATTTTGTGAATTTTATTCTTTGTCATTCTAATGGGTCTTTCAAACAGGTAGTACATTTAAAAATTTAATTACTTAATCTATCTATTTTGAATTTACCTTAAATTGTTTGTATGTATAGTGTTAAAAAAAATACCAAAGCAAACTATGAAAAGAAAAAAATCATGAGATTTTTCATTTATATATTAGTCATTTGTTTTTCCACTTTTCATTGTTTGTTAAAGTACAGTTTTATGGTTGTCAATGTATATTTCAATATAGGATCAATTAAAATTATGGGTTGATGGTTGACTATAGTGAATAATTGAAGAGAAGGAAGGTTGGGGAGATCAGTCAAAATTAAATAGTAAAAATAAATAATTGTATTTATTTATGTAAACATTCTCTTATATGTAGCAAGTATTTTTGATATATTTTGCAATATCTTAATTTTATATTTGTATCTATTATCTCCTTTCAACTTCATATTTCTTTTCTCTGTTTTACACTTAATTCTAAGATTACCATTTTTCATTTCCTATGTTACCTTATTTTGATTATGTTTATTTCATTGGGCCATGCTTTATTACCGTTATTACTATTTATTTTTCTGTTCTCTGTTTTGTACTCTGTTTATTCTACCTACTTTATTTTACTTTAATGTTCACTCTATCTACTTCATTTTATGTTATGTTTTTCTACCTAAATTTTTAGTCTATACCTTTCACTTTTTAATTTTAATTCTTTATTATTCAATTGTTTCTTATACCTATTGTTTTCTGATTCTTTTCTTAGCCCTGAACTTTTGGCCAAAACGTCAGCAAATGTGAATTTTTAATACAATTATTTATTTTTTTATTTTGACTGATCATCCCAACCATCCTTCCTTCTCATTAAATATACCACAAATTTTCGTATTTAATATCTCAATAAACTTATCATTTTTACTGGATTTAAAAAAAGGAGTAGGTTCCCGTTAGAATTTGGATATCTAATTGTTTTTATTTTATTTTGACTGCAATTTTTGCAGCGTTGGACTTTTTAATTTCTTATCTAGTTTCGTGGTATGCCCATTAGTGCTGTCATTAGGCATATTAATGCCTTTCATTCACAATTATGTTTTCTTAATTATAGTTTATTTCATTAAATAACCATATTCATGTATGACTGGCAAACATTTTTTTTTTAGAATTTGATTGCAACTTTTATTTTTACAAAATGCTGTATGTGGATTGACATTTTGTAGAAGAGCCTTTCAATGATCTTTCAAAATCAGTCAACTTCAAAATGGGACATTTATCACAGAAATATTAAAAAAAAGAAAAGAAATGAACACATCCTTGACATTTTGTCGTAACACAACAATGAAATTTCGTGGGCAGCTGTGAAAAAATTACTAAAAATGGATTTGGCTGGTTTTGGAAGTCTGAATCATAAACAAAATAAAAAATAGCATTTCTGTTTTATAATTTTGTTTTATATTTTTCCAGAACATCTATTATGAAAATTCAAAGATTTATCATTTCTTCATTGGAACAATTTGCTTTCTCGTAACAGTGGCAGTTTGGATTTTTGAAGAGAAATCATGGGTCTTATACAGTTACAAGTCAATTAGAAGACATTCATTGAAATTAGAGTAATTTTAGATTGTACATTGTTGATTTTTTTCCATGACAGAAAACCAAACTATCTTAATTTAAATAAAATTCCGTTTTAAACTTAAAAATTGTTTTCCATCAATTATTACATAAATAATTTCTTTATAATTTATTTTATTAGTCAAGAGGTAAGGTTTGATGAAACCTTGAAGGTGAAAAAAACTATAGAAGTCAGGAAATTTTACAAGACATGAGATGTGAGCACCTTTTTCTGTATGATTCAGAATCATTATTGATCGTATAAGTTTGTGTAACAGATATATGAGCTTTTCAGTTGACAGAATGATTAACTCCTATTTTAACATTTTCCAGTTGTTTTTTCTGTTACAAATATCTTATTTTTTTTAAATCATGCCAGAAGTATTAAAAATTGATAATTGATGGTAATTATTCCTACTATACTTTTGACAAAAAAGTAAAGAATTTTATAAAGAAGAAACAGAAGTATAATTGATACTAATTTAATGAAAAAAATGTTAAAATTTATGTTGATGGTTTTAAGCTTATAATTACGTTTTTATGAATTTCGACCTTATTTATCATTGCAAAAATACAGCAAGCGTATCAAATGATACAAACCCTTGTATATTTTAAATATTTACACAGTTCTGATTGTTCTACGCACAATGTTCTGATTTCACAGAGAAAATTTATTAAAGTACTTGTTGGATTTATACGATAACAGTTCTTATTGTAACAGTTTATATTATATTAGTACTTTTAACCGATTACAACAGTTACCATATGATAGGGATGGGCGATAGTCGATAGTTTTCCACTCTTGATTGCTGGATAAAAAACTATTGATAGTTTAATGACTTCTTGACACAGACTTAAAGAGGATTTATTATGGCTGTATTTTTTAGTTATTTACTTTTAAATGTTGCATAAGCTTTATAATAATTAACATTTATATTGGATGTATTCTTAAAGATTTATGTTGAGGCACTAATAAAAATTATTAAATAAATAATTAAAAAAATGATTGATGGGAAAATACATTTATATAGAAAAATAAATTGTATTTATTTCCTTGATTGTTGAATTCAAATAAAAAAAATAGACGTCACATAGGCAGTATTGTTTTAACTATTTGGTTAAAAAAGAAGGCGAGAACTATGGTGTGTCTTTTAATTTCCAAGATTCTAAATTTAATTTGATAACACCTAGTTTAAAATATAATAAAACTGTAGATTTTGTAATTATATTTTTTTATGTTCAAAATTATAAAACAGTTAGGTAAATGAAACATTTTTTCTATCAGAACAACTGGAGTTGTAAAAATATTACTAAGGAAGTAATTTGAGATTGGATTATTTTATACCTTGAAGGCTTCTTCTTGTTCAATTTAGTTTCAGTTTTATATAATGATAAAATTAGTTTTAAATATGCCTTTACACTTTATCCATTTATTTTCTTAATGTGGCGTTTCCATTATGCAATAACCGTTTTCCACTATCAAACATTTAACTTTTACATTGTTATATTATCACTATATCTCATACATCAATATATAGGTAGAAGAATGAAGGTGTGTTATTAAAATAATAATAGTAATATCAAGTATCGCCCATCCCTACCATATGTTGTATTTTTAGTTTCTGTTTTGTCAGGTAATGGCTAGTCAAATAAATCGTGTTTATCTAAGAAACCTCTTTATTAACTTAGCAGGACTTTTTACTTTAATTTTAAGATTAAGATTAAAAATCTTTTAGTCAACATTTCATTAGTTTAATTTTAATATTAAGATTAAAAATATTTTAGTCAACATTTCAAGGCTCAATGTTCTTAATCTATAAACAAAAAGGGTTAACATTGAATTGAAGTATTAGATTTGTAATAGATTTAATAGCTAACATTTATATTTTGCTTATCAGCAAAAAAGTATCAATTCATCAATATTTTTAAATGAAAAATGTAAAATAAATATTACTAGATAAAAATGCCAGCCATGTAAATTGGTATAGCTTCCTCACCATTTTTGTTGGATACATAAGAAAATATGTGTATATAATTTTATTTAAAACCGAATAGAATAATACAATAAAAACCATTGTAGCCTACATTGTCATATGAGTGGATTCATATCAAAGACGGACACATGTCATTTTCAGAGTTGAGAAAAGGTAAATTTTTGTTTTATAGGTTCAGCTCAAACAACAGTTTGAATGTTTCTGATGATTTGATTTAAAAATGTTTTAGTTGAATCATGAAAATAAATCATTAGAATTGGTTTAAATGAAGCTATGTAACAGAAATTGGTTTTTCACAGCTTTTTAAAAATGAGAGATGACTTTCTTTGATATAAGGCGACTCATATCTTCAGTGCCTACCAAATTTCATAGCCATATTCTTAACAATTATATTGTTTTTAGAGGTATATAGTTGACTATTGTAATTATAAGTATGAAAAATACTGAGTATGTGCAGTAAAAAATTTCTTTATTAAGTGTGCCGATGTTTCGACGTGTGGCTCATCATCAGGACAAAAAATTACATTACAAAAATGATAAATATATAATTATAAGAGAGGAAAACCGTGTGTTTTACATTTTTCTTCCCTTTAGGATATAATCCCGTTTTTAGCACCCACTGTAGTTACTGAAGAATAGTTAGGATTGAAAATGATCTAGAGGTGGCAAAAGACGCTCATTTGAAGAAAGAAACCTTCCTACGCTCGCATATTTAACATCTCCCCACTATTTATTTAGTTTTAAAGGTCGAAATAATCGCTTAAGATTAGAAACCTGACAGGTGTTGTCCAGGGAGGACCTGTCTTACATTTCTGGCAAGAAACACAATATCGATGTAGTTCTTTCATTCTGAAGGCTGCTAGATTAAATTCTTTAAGTTTTCGAAGATTGGGTTAGCGGCACTGAAAACTGGCGTGTACGGATATTTTTGTTTTACTCGAAAAAAAAAAAATAAATGAGACACTCTTTCACATATATATTTTGAAATTAGAGATCTTCACCGACTCAACAGAACAGAAATTGTTGAACCAAGTATCCACACAATTGAAAATGGGACAAATATATTTTAAAATTTTGCTTAAGGATACCGAAAACTGGGGTTTTACCCTAATTTCATGTTTATCATTTTTCTAATGTTATTTTTTAGTCTTGATGATTACCCATATGTGGAAAACTCAATACAGAAATTTTTTTTTGCTGCACATCCTGAATATTTTTCATCCTTTCATAGCTTTTAATTTACAAATGAAAATAGATATCACACCATTTATATATCATTTTCCAAATTTCCTTTGACTTTGGATCAAATTGAATGGGTCATTTTTTAAATATAGGCGTATCATAATATTTGTGCGCACCCGGAAGTAGAAATAGTGGATGAAATTGATATGGAACCATCCAAGAACTAATCTGTGCAATTTCTGATAATTTTCACCAAAATCAGATTTATAGCAGTAGGTGCTTTGACAGACACGGAACAAAGTTCCTTGATGACCAAAAAAATAAAACACGAGTTGAAATTTTTTATTCTGAGCACTAAATTTTTTTTAGTCTTCTGCACAAATACAAAGTGTCAATACCTTCGATAATGAGGAAGCAAAAATAAATTAAAATGTCTAAACATAAAAAAAATAATTAAAAAGGTTGAAAAAAAAATACAATATTGAATGAATTACTAAAAATTAGATAAATAATAGCAGTTATTATTAAAGATAGTTGTTACTAGGAACTAGAGAAAAGTGACTTAAATTATTTAAGATAAAAGGATTAAAGAAGAATAACGAAGGAAATCAAAATTGAATTAATAATGACTGAAGCATATCAAATAAATCAAAGAGAAAAAAAAAATATTACTAACATCCATTTCTCATATTGTGTTTAAAAACACTATCATTTTGATGACTCAGTAGTGAGATGTGTTTCCTTGCAGATTTTTTTAAGGAAAAAATATCAGTTTTCAATAGTCATATTTTAATATAGATATTACAGTATATCAATATTACATAAAATTATCTGAAAAAAATATTGATATATAATTGTTGACAAATATAAGTATTTTTATAACATCCCCGCTAATTACATGTCAAACATACTAAGATAAATTCACCAATTTTTCATAATTAACAATCCTTTATATTCCAGTAATTGTTTTCTTCTTTTTTTAAATTATAGTCTCAAAAATACTTAATAAGAAACTATGTGTGCCAACTAAGGCATTTTTTTTCTTTCTTAAAAATATTCTTATGCTAAAAAAGACTATTTTGACTTAGTTGAATAAGCTTAAAAGCGATTATTACAAATTTTTCTATTGTTTTTTGTTTATAATGTCAAAGAAGCTGCTTTGATATTTTTTATTAGTATGCCAAAGAGAAACTGTTTAATTTTCGTTAGATCTCTCACAAAATTGTTTAGTTTAAAAATCAAGTAATGTGGATTAAAATACTTAAAATGTTTAAAATAATAAAATGTAGAATTATGTAAAATGATTATTAATAAAAATCAATTTATAAATTTTATAAAGGAGTCTAACATTGTTTTTTTTTACCCTACCTTCATGACAAAAAAGAATAATGTGAAGAGGAGTTGGTTGGGGTATGCAGTCACAAGTAATAAAGTAAAAATAAATAAACTATATTTATATTGTTTGCCGATGTTTCGACCCAATTTCAGGCTTTCAACGGGGCTAAAAAGAGACAAGAAAACAATAGATATGAAAAATGGTAAAAAATAATAATTATTTCATAATTGTGCAGTGTTATTTTGGTATGTGAGAAGGAATTGGTAGAGGGTATTAGAATGAGGATTAGGAAGAAACATGGCTGATATCAGCTGGCAAGGAATTCCAGAAGGCAGTGGATAGGGCAATAAATGAATGTTCAAATGTTTCAATTCTATGGGAAGGAATATAAAGATCGAAAACATGGGATCTTGTTTCCTGGGAGTGGCGTATGGGTCTGAATTGTAGGAGACTGTGGATGTAAGAAGGATGGCGCGATTTGATCATTTGTAACAGTTAAGATCCAAGGAAATATTGTCAGTAGAAAGAAGGAAGAGCAACTTTAACCTGTCGTAAAGGTGAGACACATGAAACTGCCACGAAGTACCGAAGACAAATCTTAAATATTAATAATTTAGGAGCTGAAGATCAACAGTTTTATTTTTAAATTCTATTTTACCTGATAAAATACTACTTCCTCTTGTATTAAATAAAAGAGATTGTTGTTTTAAGGCAATAAATAGGAGAAGTATAATTTTAATGAAAGAAAAAATGTCAGTAAAATCCTTTCTCAGGTTGAAAAAATAAAAAATTCATAGAATGTCAACCTGTTTAATCCAATAACTGTTTGAAAAAAATACCTTGTGTATTTTAAAGATCAGGAATTAAACTTTAATGTTAGCTGATAAATAATAAATTGTTAGCAATAATTAAATTAATAATGGAGAAAAAAATACAAATTACTAACGATCAAATCAGTTACCAACCAAAAATAATTAAGTTTTAAATCATTTAACATTTCAAAATTAATTTTTCTCTCTAATTATAAACAAAATTTTAGTGATGGTCATATTTAATTTGGTATCAGGAGAATAGGAAGATTACAGGAGCTCAATTTTTCAGCCCAATCCTCTAGGCTCGATAGTGCTACTCTCGAATTTCTAATAAGTTTGTAATTATTTTACAAACTATACAACTGTTCATTTAATTACATATTATTATAAGGGAAATGTTGATATTCCTCTGGAGATAGTAATTTTATTTTACCTAGGTGACAGCAGTTACTAATTCGAACTAGACATTTTCTCCTTGAATAAAATATATTATTATATTTTACTAGTTGGTCCGTGCGAATAATTCACAGAAAATTTGGTTCAATGAAGGAATAGCAATAAGTAGATCCTAGGTATTATGTGAGAGAGGAATTAATTATTTTTCCTTGGTCCATTATAAATATTCCATTTAACACAATAGACCAAAATATTTGTACAAATTGCTTTGCTAGGTCCTGTTTTTAAACGCTGACTGGAAACATGAAAGTAATAAAATTAATTATGCTCCGATCATGGGATTTTCTGAATTATTAAAAAAATAAAATGTAAGAACAAACAAATACCTTTAAGAATTAATACTGTTAATATATCAGACAGGAAGACATTATTAAGTATAAAACTAATGGACTGTATATATGTTAATAATTGTCCATTTTTTTTTTAAAGTAATTTAGTTATCTTTCTTATTATTATGGGTTCAATCAAGAAAAAAATGCATACTTTTTGAACAATTCACGAATAAAGTTTCTTTTCCTTTATAACTTTTTTCCCAGAAATTTTGGGAGGATAGGAGTATTCTTCGCATGTGAAGAAGGGTATCTTCAAAATGAGTTGTCAATCATTGGATTTGATGAAGAATTGACGAAGTTATGGCGTACCGACAAAGAAACACCTTTTAGAAATAATATAACGGATTGTGATACAATTATAATTATTATGATATAGAAAAGGAAGCATAATAAAAGACGAACACTGAAAATATTAGAAATAAAATGCTCAAATTATTGTAGAGCTTAAATGAAGCTTGAGAAGTTGAATTATGGTTATGAATTGGCAATAAGATTAATTATAATTATTATTATTTTTTTTAAAGAACCACTACAACCCATGAAAGGTCTTGGGTTCAGTACTGTTTCAAGGCCAACGGTTGAGCAGGGAGATCGGGTCAGGATCACGCTTAACTGCCAGGTTTTTCCTCTTAATTAATTATTTTAATTAAGGGTACCCACTTCTTAGAGGCTGTTTGTGGAGTCTCGCTAACAGGGTCACCCCCTGAACAGAATACATAATATTTCTGCCATGACCCGGGGGGATTTGAACCTTTGACCTTAATTCAGTGTCCTACCACTGAGCTATCCCACTCTAATTATAATTATACAAATAATATAAATCGGCAATATGGTGCGATGTACATATTTACGAATAGATTTTTAATGGAGTTAAAAGATTTGTTGGAACTATGGTTTCATTGTTTATTTTATGTTGATAAAAAATAATCCAATCTGAACTATAGAATATAGGTAAGTTACAGTTATACAATTTGATAAACATGTAGTACACTAAAATGAACAGTTGTATGACAGGGGTGGGTTTGCTGTAAGGTGGACAGGGATTATCCTCCTAGAGGTAAGAAAATTTTAAAATCAATTATTTAGAAAAAATTTGAGAATCTGTAGGGCAATAGTTTCATCACTTGTGTGGATGGTTCAAAAATATTGCGGGCAAGTCCTGATGTGTGAAATAGCCTACAGTGACCAGTGTTTTCACTGAAACATAAACATTACATTCCATTCACGCCAGTGACCAACAATATAGGACAAACTTGCCAATATGTATCCCAGCAATACATAATAGTCCGGTCAATGAATGACTATAGAAGGAAATGGCAGGGACGCAATTTTTGACTTCGGGACATTGGACTAGTCAGGAGGTAAACATACTAAGAGTCCACACTCCTAAGTGGTCAGCCAGATGAGATGTGCCTAGGCCACTTTTTTTTTTTTTTTTACTTAAATCAGGGAAATTATCTATCACAGCGATAAAGACGATCTATACAAAATTTGCAATATGGTTGATTATATACATTTTTTCGCTACCTCGCTTAGTTTCCGTGATATCTGTCCTCAACTATGGCTAATTTAAAAAAGAAAAATGTGGCCTCATGTTTATTGCTGTATTTCAGGTTTAAAAATAATTTTTATATTCTTTGTTGTATATATATATGTATATATTATACTCTTTAATGTATTATACGTTGTCTGTGATAGACTTTACAATATCTCAATTTTATATTTGACTATTTTATTTGCAATATCTTAATTTTACTATTTATTTTCATTTTTTCGTAAACCAACGACTTCCTGTCCTACAGTTTCCTTTAACAATACTCCACTTATCCCTGTTGAGCAAATCCGATACCTAGGACTCCACCTGGACAAACGACTAACTTGGAATCCTCATACTAGACTGAAACGACAAGAAACTGCTCGACGTTTCCGATTACTTCAGCACTTACTAGACAAATGCTCTAAACTTCCCATTAATTACAAAAGACTCATATACTTGACTATAATAAGACCTATTTGGACTTACGGAGTTGAGCTATGGGGCTCCACTAAACCATCGAATTCCTCTCGCATCCAATCCTTACAATCCAAAATCCTTCGTAAAATCCTCAATGCTCCTTACTTTGTCACTAATAAAATTATCCATAAAGATCTTAATGTTCTTATGTTTCAGATCTGGCCCAATCCAGATACCTATCCTTCCATAATAAACTTCAGAATCATCCCAACCCTCTCGTTCTAACCTTGCTTCCTCTTCAATTCCTGATAACCCTCCGAGGCGTCTCCGTGATCTCCTAATGTAGTCATATCATTAGAGTGCTACCATTGGGTAGTTACTCAGCAAGTGTATTCATGTCATTATATCAATTATGTCCAAATTTACTTGATGTATTTATGTAATACAGTTGTAAATGTCATAAAGAAATAAAAAAATTTCATTTTTTATATAACTTCATATTACTTTTTTCTGTTTTACATTTTATTCTAAGATTCCCATTTTAATACTTATGTCAACTTTTTTGATTATGTTTAATTCATCATTCCTCACTTTGTAACGGTTATTATTATTTATCTCTTAGTTCTTACTATTGTCATTATTCTAACAACTTCATTTTACTTTAATTTTTTTTTACCTACACTACTTATGTTTCTCATACCTTGTTATCTGGTTCTTTTCTTAGCCCTGATGAAGGCCTGAACTTCAGGTCAAAACGTCGGCAAATGTCAAAATAAATATTATCATTTATTTTTGCCTTCTTATTTGACTGATCATCCCAAGTATTCTTCTCTTCATAAAAATTATCCTTTTCTACAATTTCTTGTGATTGACATATAAAGTTATGATTGATCTAACTTTTGAACCGTTGAAGATAAACTAGTAAATTAAATATTCTTGAAGAAAATTTAATTATTAAAAACTTTCTTCCCCATGACTTAATTATAAAACGAAGAAATCAAGAGTTAGTCAAATACAGTAAAAAACATGAGGTAAAATTTTTTTTTTTACAAATTAGCAATATTTGAGGATGGATATCTCGGAAACCAAGCAAGTAGCGAAAAAAGGTATATAACCAATCATATTGCAAATGTTATCAGCTTTAATTTTGTTTAGAATGTTTTTGTCTATGTGATAGATAGTTTTCCTGATATATTATTGAAAATAATAAACCAAAAATACTTATTATTATTCATTAAATAGAATTCAGTAAGTAACAGTTATAATAAATTATACAAACGCCAGCATAGTGGAGAGCATATATAAATATTTTACGGTATTTGATTTAACATTTACACTACAGTAAGTTAGCTCTGTAGGATCTTAGTAAGTTTAAAGCTATAATTGAAAATTAACAATAACAAAATTATGGTGTTAAAAGTGACATTTGGTCGTTTTGGATTTTAGTACCATACATGAAAATATTTAGAAATTTTAGAGGACTCCTAGGCTAATATTTATTAGTATACCTTCACACCAAATTAGATGCTTATATCTGCCACCTGATTATAACTGCTTCATGAAAATTAATATCTTAATAGATAAATAGAAAGTACATAAATATAATAAAATGCTCTCAACTCAGAGATAAAATGGAATGAGGCAGTTAAATAATAAATATCTGTAACTGTTTATTCTTTATTTAACAAACGGTTTCATCACAATTTTTTAAAACTTAAAAAAAAAAAGAACAACATTCCACCCAAGATTATACAGCGTAACATTTTCACAAAATTTACCTGTTATGCTAATAATAATGGAATTTATAATTCAAAGAATCACTAATTATATTTTTATTTTATTAATTTTTTTTTATAATGAAAGTTGAAAATAACTTAAGTCTGTCTTCAAGGCACATAATTTAAATACTCATCATTTGTCTCCAACGAAAAAAATAAAACCCAATAAAAGTGTCTTTACATTTTATTAACACAACCAAGCAGTGCAATATTTTCAAGATACTTCCATAAAATTATGACTGCCGCTATTTTCAGCAAAGCCTACATTTTCTGTCGTTTGCTGTTGTTCTTCCGATTCTTGACTAGGTTGATCTTGTGACTCTGAGTCGTCCCAATTGATTTTGAACCTTGTAACCCTCGGTTCAGAGCCTAAAATGTTCCTTACAACCTACAAAAAATAAATTTCCAAAGTAAGAAAGTAAAAAATTTAATCTAGACTTAGGAAATGATTAAAATTAAAATTACAGATATTGTAAAACTGCTTTGTAACCTTAACACTGATAAACACAAGATAACTAGCGAAGCAACTTACACGGGGAGGTGACAGTCAGCTGTTCACCGATTACAATCAAATTTTTATTTTATGCGATTCGATATCGTAAAATATAACACATATGTCCTGGGTCCTGGAGTTCATTCTAATGGGCCTTAGGAGTCGAGAAAAAGTAAATTATATAATTTCAAAATTAATTTATGTTATTTCTTTTTGCCCTTGCTTTGTCACATTTCCAGGACATTATGTAACAATTTCTTTTTTGTGAAGAAGAAAAAAATGTTGACGATATCATTAAATGAGTTAAAATGAATCAAAATTACAAAAACCAAATAATGCTTTTAGTTAAGCAGGCCAAGTAAATTTTTAATATGTAAGGCAACTTAGATTCGTTTTTTAAGTGTCCTTTGAAACTCTTAAATATAAATTTTTTAGAAATAAAAAAATACAAACTATAGCAATTGATTTTTTTTTTTTTTTTTGGGGTTTTTACATTCACTTACCTATATTTTCATTTAGGTGAAAATGCTTTTATTATGTGAAAATTTTAGAATCTGAGTTAATGGAAATACACGTTTTGAGGTCTCATGAATCCAAATAAGTCTCACCAAAATGGTCTATCTGTGTGTATGTATGTGAACAATCCAGCTCAAAAACGAAAAGTCGTACGAAACTGAAATTGGATATTTAAAGTTTTTATTCGCCTGAGATGTTGCAGCAACATTTTTGTCAAAATTGGCAAACCGGAAGTGGTACTTTATATCACCGATATAACACATTTTTACGATTTTCTCAAAAACAGATCTAATGATTTTGATTAAACTAAGTATATCAGTTTACTGTTAAGCAGTTTTTAATATAATGTAAGTTTATTTTCATTTATGTTCTCTAACAGGGCTTAAATAGCTATTTTCAATATTAACTTCCTTTAAAGTATCCTTAATTTTTTTTATTTTAAATAATTATTTATTTCACATTAATATTTGATATAAAAAACAGCTAAATATAAAATATAAAAGATAATTAACTAAAGAAGAAATAAGAGATCGTAATCGAGTAACCAAAGGAACACCAGTAGTGTTATTGACAGTCAAAGGTGGATGGATATTGTAACCATAGTCATTTATAATGATGGAGTTTAACCCTTCAAGGCCATTCATTATAAACAATATCCACTATATATTTATTTCCAATTAAAAAATATTTACATACTAAAAACATTTCCTGGCTTCAACAGTTCTTCCCTGAATTTTCCATGTTTGAAAATTCTTTGACTTTAACCATTTTTCCAGGTTTTCAGGTCAGTCGCCACCCTGAATTATTGTTTTGAAAAAGAAAATTTTCAGCCAATCGGAATTAACTCCATGACATATGTCTAATATTTTAGATGAAAAATCACTAAAATAAATTTGGTTGAAATTGGCAATCCACTGACTATGACCTCTCCCTTGTTGCAGGATAAAAACTGACAAGTAATGAAAAAAAAAAAATAAACTTAAAGATAAGCTTGCACAAAAATAGCAAACCTAATTAAGTCTTCAAACTGAAATACATAATATAAACAAATAACATTATTGAAGGAAGCTAGTCAACTGTTCTACATATCATGAGTGATAAATATTCAGAACGCAGTCTTTTAAAAAATTGTTTATATGTGCCAACATTTCAACCCAAACAAACATGTGGGTCATTCTTCAGGGCTGAAAATTTTAAAATACAATCAGATATAATATTATATGACCGATAATGGCAAATAATAAACTATAGTGATTTGTGTGTCAGTACTTGAAAGCATTCAGTGCTTGAATCACGGTTAGTAAGAGAAAATATTACAAATTTTTATAATAGATTATATATATTATTTTTAGTTTGTATAACTTTTTACATATTTCATTTTTAATATTGTATATTGTAATGATAGTTAAGATTTATGTACCATCAAATCACTATAGTTTATTATTTATCATTATCGGTTGTACAATATTATATCTCTGATTGTATTTTAAAATTTTCAAGCCTAAAGATGATCCATATATGTTTGGGTTGAAACGTTGGCACAAATAAATTTTTTTTTTTAAAGACTCGTGAATATTTATCACCCATGAAAATATAAGTTAGCCTTTATTTAGATGAAATACCTTGTCAAACTGTGGTATCGCAGGAGGATTCTCTCTTAGCTCCGGATCGGAATATTCATTATTAATAAAATATCCTACTCGCACGAACTCCTGGCCACGGTAACAACAAGTTAGTAAAACCACAGTAACACCAAGCGCATCTTCAATAGGTATTTTAGTTACATCAGGAGGATCTGCCTATAAAAATAAATTAAATGAAATTATATATAATGAATAACTATTTAAACAAAAGTTAATGTATATAAAATTAATAATTCATTTAACTGAACTGAATATATAGTCCCAGAAACTTCTTTATCTGGACTAATACCATGGAAAATTATTTATTGGTGGATTTATAATTATCTATTAACTATAATAACCATATTTAATAGATAAAATAATAGAATTGAAACAATAACTAGATCAAGGACGTTATCCTAAAACAAAGTTCATAGGAACCACACCACTATGTGAAGTTTTGTAAATGTTCTAAAAGGTTATGTAACTAGCTCTCAATTATTTTGGTATTAAATTGTGAATTACTAATGAAATATCAAAGAAGAGAGGTCATATGCCCTTTTTCTATACACAATATATAAAATGAAAAAATAATAAATATTTCAACCAGCATAATAGAAAAAAAAATTATTAAATTATTAAACATAAATTATTTATTACATTCTAAATGATTAACACAAAAAAAAACAATAGAAAAGTAAGAGTATTCATGCAAACAGTAATATAGTAGGTATAATAAATAACCGTATAATGTATTACGAAGTTCACATCTTTTGTTAACAGCATTAATTTTAAAAGAAATGGAATGAAAGAAAGGATTACAGAATGAATTGAGTAAAATTAAGCGGTTTTTAATATAACGTAGGCTTTATTTTCATTGATGTTCTCTAACAGGATTAAAATACTTAATTTTAAAAATTTCTTCCTCTAAAGTACCTTTAATTTTTTTATTTCAAATAATTAACCATGATTAAATAGCCATAATTAACACATGAGGTCTTTGGTGCTGGTACGTTGCTTGAGGTGTACACTACATACTAGAGTAAGCGTCAAGATTCATTTCTCACGGCCACCGATAAATAACTTGACCGTGAGAATCAAATCCAACATTCAGAATCAGACACTAAGGCTTTAACATACTGCCGTTATCACACCTTCGTGTTCTAGGATTCAAAACAATAGTAATTGTCACCAAAAATGTAGCCCAAATTTTAAATATAATTTATCAAATAATATTTAACTTCCTTAAATTACTTAGCAAAGATTAGAAAAAGAAAAAAAAATCAGTCGTAGAGGGCATTAGGGCAAACTTTTAAGCATAATTTCTTTCATTAAACAAAAACTATTTTATGTCATACACCAAGCAAGAAGGAAAATGTTAGAGACAAGGAATGACACAAACAGCTCTTCATTATAAGGCATATGATGTAACAAAATTATCAAAATATATTTATAGACAGGCACGCAGGATCATGTATTATAGATGTAATTTATAAAGCCTATATTTTCTAAAGAGAAGTGTTGATGTGCACCTTTGGTGATAATGCAGGTCTTATATTCATTATTTCTTATTATTTTTTCATTTTCTTTTAATGTTTCCTTGAAATCTGTAGAATTATATGAATTATTGTGAATATTATCCATCCTCCTTATTACACTAAATTTTTCCCTATTTCCAGTAATCTACAATAATTGTTACCATTTATTTACTTCCGTTTCCACGTCTTCCCGATCCTCTTAGAGAAGGTCTCCTCTTTACACCTATTCTCAGTCTCACCACTTCATTTCGGACTCTGTCCAGCCTTGTTAATTGGAGACACCTTCTCCAAAAATCCAGTTCTACAGTCCGAACTTTGGCATATAAACTAGCACTCATCAATCATGCCTCAAATCCATAGGTTAATATGGGCTCGACAATAGCCGTGAAGATAGGCCGCTCGTTCATGTTTGAAATGGTGTTGTTCCAGAGAACAGGATGTAGCATTCTAGTTGCTTTTCTTGCCATCTCTACCTTGTTTCAGACATCCACTTCGGAGGCCCCCACATCGTCCAGGTAGGACTCGAGGTATTTCTAGGTCTTTGCTTTTTTGCATACCTGATCATCTATGTGTAGGTCGTCTTTCTCATCTTAAGCAGACCCTACACGGTCATTCGGCATTGCACTAATGACGTTCAGAATTATCGTGTAAGGTAGTGAATGAAGTACTTGGTGATGCGCTGCGGATTTCCGAACATCCGGAAATCAAAGGTTCATTCACGAGAAGTGGAGGGAGGACTGAGGTAAAAATAGTGGAGAGACTAACCATACTACTGGATAGGTTCGGTTACCTAGGCCTCACAACCATTATAAATTTCTGATTTTTATTATATGTAAATAGTTAAATAATTTTTCATATCCCTTGTTTATAATTTTAAACCATCTTCAACTATTTCTTTTAAATAGTCAAGTGGGCAACAAATTAAAAAAAAAAAAAAAAAAAAAGAGGAGACTTCACAATTTACTTCAAGAAAAAAAAAAATTTAATGTTGTGTATATTTATCAGTTCTTTTCCCTTTTTCCTCAACAAATTTATTATTTTCGCAATACCTTTCCTTAATTTTTGTAAGTAGTAGACTTATATTTTACTAACTTTTGTCAAAACGATTTTCCATGAGACTAACCTTACTACTAGATAGGTTAGTTTACCTAGGTCTCGTTATTAAGTAAATAATTTCATAAAAGTAAATAGTTGTTTATATCCCTAGTCTATATTATTATTAACCGTTTTCAACTATTTTTTCTTTAAATAGTCAAGTAGGTAATAAATTGAAGAGAGAAAAAAAGTGGAAACTTCACAATTTACTTATAGAAAAAAAATCTTTAACTGTTGTGTTTATTTGCCATTAATTTTTCCATCTTTCTTAACAAATTGATTATTTTCGCAATAGTTTTCCTAGATTTTTGTATGTAGTTGACTTATATTTTTCTAACTTTGGTCTAAATGATTTTCAGGCACTAGGAAGTAATTATTATATCTCCGTTTTTCTCTTGATGCCCAATATTATAAATGACAATGTCCAAATAAGCATATCTATACTGTTTCTTTGTTTACAACTGAGCTAAATTGGTATCAGCAACGATAAGTAATGATTGAACGTGTAAGGGTCTTCATGATCAAAGCGATCGCGGGCAATCTTGGCACTTCTTGTGACGTTCATTCATGGATTACCGTGTAGCGTCTGCTTAACAGTGCCTTATATTCAGTATTTTGGAAGTTGATCCTGAGACCTGCCTCTTCATAAACTTCCCTCAACTGGAAACCATCATCTCCAGGAAAACTTTCTTTCAGGCCATCACTACCTGATCATCCATGAAGAAAAGGGCAAGGAACTTGTCATCATCAAATTAAACTCTGTAGACCCGACTTTATCTCATCCATTGCAGTTCCCAATCTTCACTCTGTACAGATCGCTTCAATACAAGTGTTGAATTGAACAACGGATTCATTAACACCTGCTCTTCTCAGTGCTGGTCATATTCTTTCCTTAGAAACATCATATGCCTGCTCCAGATCAATGAATGCTAAATAAAACTTCCTATTCTTTGCCCTGCATTTTTCAATGAGTTGCCAGAGTACAAAAATATTGTAAATGCAAGATGCTCCCAGCAGTGAAACCAATGTAGTATACTCCACTTGAGGCTTATCTCGGATGAGTCTTCCGATAATTCTATTAACTGTCCTCTCCTAATCATACCACTAATCTCCTAACTCAATATTAAAAGGAAACAAGGGTAAGAAGATAAGTATTTATATGTTTTATTATAATCCTCCTTGCTCTTTCGTGTAGAGATAAAGAATGCTGCCAGAGGACAGTTAACAGTTTTTTTTGTTTTGTTTTAATATTTCATTTAATTATTATTAGATTCCAGGAATTTTTTTTTCATTGAGTGCAGGCCACCTTTAAATCATAGTTACACATGTTTCGATTGCATTAGCAACATTTTTACAATTCCATTCTCATCATTAATTTTACAAAAATAACTTTAACAATAACAACAATATACAATAACAATATTACTTAATGTTATACTTCTGATCTAACCTGAAAGACAAATTTGTGTCTTCCTTCCGGAATAGGCCCAACATAAATAGTATCTAAAACTTGATCATATTCTTCACTCTCTGCAGAACCAACATAAATCATTTTCCATTCTAAATCTAAAATAAAATAAAAATAATTAATGAAATATAAGAGGATTTACTTATAATTAGGCATTAATCATATTGGATTGAAAGAGGCATAAACAGCAGTCCGAAGAAATTAGTTAACCATCAATATAACAAGGACCAAGTCATCCCAAGGCAAGGTATATGATTACTGGCAGATTGTTTCAAGATTACTTCGAGCATACTGTCACATATGGAATCCCAAAGGTAGCAAGAGTATTCTCAATCAATATTTGTATATGTCAATTTCATATTACAACACAACTGTATCACAATATAGAGGATACTGATTCACAAGAGTTCCGCACGAATTAGGCATGCTACATAATCATTTCGGTTTCACTTGTTCATGGAGTGCCGAATACATCCAGGTTTATGTGTATGAGTACAAAGATGACCAATCTCTTGAGTTAATTACTAATTACTTTCTTGCCGTTAAAGTACATATATACCCTTAACTATGTGCAGTTATACAGCATGAGCCAACTTATATTTAACATTTAGTTTATATCACACAACCTTAATTGAACTTATGCATATATTATACAACTATGATAAAAAAATATAATATATATTTATCTTATTGATGATTTCCATTATTCAGTATATTGGAATTTTCAAATATTCTTTGTCAGGTGTAATACCTTCCTTGATCATTTCTTACTCAGAAATTAAAACGATTTGTTTATTTTTTTTTATCCTCATTATTAGATTATTAAGAAAAACAATGACGATTATGCAGATAATTCATTCAATAAAATTAGTAGTGATTTAAATGAGGAAATCGTTGCATTATAAAGGAAGGAGATGGTCCAGGGTTGCGGTCATAAATAGGCTAAATAACGGTAAAACTATTTTATTGAAAGCCGACGTTTCGACCCGACTTTGCAGGTCTTCATCAGGGAGGTGTGTTCATCTAGTAGTTTCACTTAGAACAGAAGGAGTTTCACTCAGTTTTAAGTGAAACTCCTAGATGAACACACCTCGCTGATGAAGACCTGCAAAGTCGGGTCGAAACGTCGGCTTTCAATAAAATAGTTTTACCACTATTTAGCCTATTTATGACCGCAACCCCGGACCATCTCCTTCCGAAATAAATAATAAGTTAACAGTATAGACCAACTAACAGATTTACGGATCCCATTGCTGTTGGGTGTTATTGGAATGAATACTTATAGAGAAAATGTACAAGAGATACATTTTGGGGTAAATACTTAAACAATCACAGTAAGTACTGTAATTACAACATATAAACAACTACTAAATATAAACACGTGTCAATAAAAATTTTACTCATAAAAGCATTTTTTTCAACAGATCTTTTAGGACCACTCGAACATAATTTAAAATACTTTCTTTCAGATTATTTACCATTACAAAAAAAATAAACTAATTGGTTAAAAAGGAAGTTCTATATTGAGAATACCTGAGTTTTTATGAAATAAATAAAAAAAGGAATAGTGGTTGGGACAAGACGTCATAACATTCAAGCGTTTTCGGCATTTCAAGACCAAGTGTGACTGAAGGGAAAATGAACTTTGCATAATCCATGCATTGAAGTTGAATTAAATAATATAGATAATCAAATAATAATGGAGAAAATTTGTATAGCAGCAATGCTACTATTCAGTTACTATAATTAATATTCAATTTCAAGAATCATAATTATTCTTATTCATAGATTGCACTTCAGATGCTTCAGGCGCTAAAATACAGATGAGTATATTTACCATTGGTCGGAAACATGAAAATTAATTGGGTTCATTTCAATAATTCTAGATTGTTAGGGCTAGGAGAATTATAAGCTAAAAATTTTTCAGAGCTTCTAGAAATCAATCATTATCCATTAAATTAACATTTAAATAACAGCTTAAAAAAAATTGAAAATTACACTTTAATGTTGATTGGTGATTTATTATTTAACAAATGAAAGATGCAGCCCCGACAAATCATAATTCGATCAATAAAAAGCATAATTTTTTAGATGCTCTTTAAGCCTAGTTAATTTATTGGTAAAATAAGAAATAAAAATTGTAACTGATCTTTCAGAAATTTGCTTCATATTATTATTTAAATAAAACTAAGGGAATGAGGTATTGGAGCTGACATAACCTAATATTCATGAATTAGTTACAAAAGGTTGGGGATTAGTAACCTCTATCTGTTTTCAGAAGCACTGATAGTTTCCCAATTGAATCCACAGTATGCTCAAAGTGATCTTGAAATTAGTCGGCATATAGAAGTAGCAAGAATCAATATTACTATCTGAATATAGTTACCAAGCCATTTCCCTCAATACAATACAACTATACCATACAGCAAAAGTTATTCGACCAGGCCATATATTAAACCAAAAATAATAGCACAAACAAATTATTTTCATAATTCAGCTCATTTATGGGATTTAGTAAATAGTTATACATAGAATAAGAATAAAATGAAAAATATAAATTAATTAAAACGGGGCGGCTTAATCAATCTCTTATCAACGAATCACTTAATTCTTAAGCAAACAAGGCGCAAAATGAAAAATATTTTTCAAGTTACCTTCTTTTAATTCTTCGATACATTCGAATGTTAGTTCGAATTGAAACGGATTCAAAAAAGAGGAGGGATTATCGAGCACCAAAACATTACCTATCTGGACTTTCGCCATGACAACCTGCAACACATAACAATTTATAAGTTTCGATCTTAAATATGAGAAAAAGTAAAAGAATACTGTCCTTCTTACCGACTTTAAATACTTCAAAATTTCATAACACAAATAACAGATAAAACAGAACCAAGAAACACACAGGAACAATTATGAGTTAAACGATAGAAGCTTTACATAGCACTGATATGCACTCAAATGACCCATTCAACAATAGGCGCCTGTGGTTGGCGGTTAAGATAGATGCTATTTATTTTAAAGGCGGTGTTTTTTTTTCTATTTTTTGATATTCTCAAAAAATATAAAAATATAAATGAATCAAACAACGATGAATAAACTCATTATATAAGACTAGACTTATTCATCGATGTAATACACGTCTAGAAAGAATTTAATTAATTTATTTACTGAATTATTTGTGTATTTTACATGGAACTAGCATTATATAAATCATTCAAATATAATCTTAACGTTAATTTAATAATTGGACGCCGACAGCCGAATTATAAAGATTCTGAAAGCCTGGTGATCTTTAAATAGTTTTCTTGTGATACGGAGTGCTATGGTGGCCTTCAATCTATATTCCCTTAAGTCTAATTAATGTATTCTTCTTTATTCAATCTTTACCTCATGGTGTTCCTCCGTATATTCCCTTAATTGATACTCTCTTCGTTGTTAACTTCTTAATCTCACACAGAACGAGTCCTCTGTCTCTTGCCTGAACTGAAAAAAGATCTTTCCACTTACTTCCCAGTCGTATGCTTGATCGTTTACCTTCTGTTTTACATTTCCATACAGCTTTAGGTATGTACATCGGAATTCTACAGAGATGGCCGAACAACGTCAATGCTGGTCAATGAATGATGTCAATCAACAGTTCCTGCATTGTCTCTTATATTATTATTTGATTCCTCAATCGGTACAAACTTGTCTTACCGAGAGTTCTCTTCTGAAATTTCACCTCTGCTGCTTCTGTGCGTCTTTCAAATTGTTTCTAGTTTTACAAGTATTAACACTGTTTGATTGGGTTAGTTGGGTAAAAGATGATAGTATGATCATCATCATATTATAATTGGAATTCAAAGAATCGCCTAATGTATACAGCTGACCAAACCGTCAGGTAAGACACCGTTCTCAAGTGAAAAGAAATTGACCAGGATATGCCTACCTCTTTTGAGCGAGCGTAGAATGCGGAATTCGAAAGTAGCATTGTTGTAAGTAAAGACTTCCACTTTAACTGAAAACTGCCAGCTGGGAGTTTACGGAAGTCGTACATCTTGATCTAAATAAAATGAGATTATATACAAGAAGCTGTGGTATTTATGGAAACCATGAGATCTTGTGCCTAGCCATCATAGTTTAGCAATACTTATAAAATAGTCCGAATCATCTAGTCTTCATATCCACTTCTGTTTCGCCGAACATGGCGTTGCGGAGTTTGCAATACACATTTGTTGGTTTCTTAATAAGCTGATTTATTTTGGAACCTAATCTCTTGACATTTATTTATTTTGATTCCAAAGTTACATTTCCTTGTTTTCTTGAACCATTGTCAGACAAACCATATAATTATTTTTGGTCCAGCTAATAGTTCTCCCGTTTTGGCTTGGAGATTCCTTCCACGCTTATGGGAGCTCTTGCAAGACTTTTGAACAAGATATTTATTAATTCATTACATGATGTTCCAGATAAGTACAGAACCAGTAAGTAAATAAACACTAGCAATTCTACTTTTAATTTGCAATAAAAAACTTTCTATAAAACAATTAGGTCTATCTCGTTTCTCATATGTTTTTTTGTTTTGTTTTCCGATTTCGAACCTGTCTATTATCATAAACGGCTTCCAAAATAAACTATTTTAAGTTATCTGTATGGGAACTTCTATGTCTCCTTTTTCAGTAAACATATCGATTATAATCGATAGTTTATATAATGACAGTTTATAATTATCAAATGTACTTGAAAAATGTTGTCTTTAGATTGTCAGCCAGGTAGGAATGCATCTTATTCTTCTCGGAGTTAATATAAATAATATTCAATCACTCTTTTAAGCCTTTTTAGTATTTTGGAATATTACTTCTAGACTACGAATGACACGCATATGGACAGATAATTTTCACACCCTACCTAGGAACCTTTTACACTCATATAATAAAGAAAATATCTTCCGTGTAATACCAATATCGCAGCACAGACACCAAATTAACTTGGCATACAATTTTCAAACATTTGATCAACAAAGATTTCGTTCCTTTACGGATTGCTCATTATAATATGAGCCTTTCAGTTGACAGAATGACTAACTCCGATTTTAAAAATTTTGAGTAAAGTAATTTTAGCGATATTTCTGGTTGGATAATTTATATCTGTGCAGACAATGAGTAAGTTGATTAAAGAGTAAGTGATTGCAGTGTTTAAATTTAGAACTGTGAATAAAAGTATAATTTTTGACACATGAAAAATTCCTAAAAATAATAATAAAAGTTTTGAAATTGGAGTTAGTCATTCTGTCAACTGAAAGGCGCATATAACGCCGTTGGTCTCACATCGAATATTTATGTTTTTAATTCCTAATATTTATCGGAGGTACATATAGTTCTTGTCAGGTATTAACTACAACTTCTTTTGATCAAAGTTTTAGCTCTTTGGCATGACCCGCGTCTGCACTTCTATCACTGCTGAAAAAACGTAGGAAACTGGACAAAAGTGCTAAATAAACTGCTCTGATGAAGACAAACAATCATAAGCGTTTTCAATTCTGGTTGGAAGAAGGGCGATGGATTCCCTCACTCCCCTCCCCTCCAAAAAAAGTCTCGGGAGTATATATCATGTATACAAATTATGATTGATAAATAATATAATCAACGTAATCCCCACATATATTATTACAGTAAGGCTCGAAATCGGTTTTGTACCAAATTTAAGCTCCTGTCATGCTCAAATACCATGAATGGGGTACCTTCATTCAGAATTTCACGGGGGGTTAGCGAATCGTATTCTCCACTTTTGTTTTTCTTTCTAAAATAAATAAAGTCAATACAAATATTTTGCTAGGCTTCGACACTGGAACGGTGGTAGGTCTGTAGATCGATACGGGACAAATTGGGTCTTAAAGATTTTGATGCGTACAGCAAAATCCGGGATAGTTCCTCCGGAACTATCGGATCCTGCGTTTTTAAGCCGAAAAACGTACTATTTTCGAGATAACAAAAGGCATAGGGTTCGCATCCGCACAACCTTACATTAATTGTAGTACTGTCATTGAATACATGTCTCATTTCGTCGACTTGAGGTCTCTATGATCGAGAGAGGGGGAGTTTATATTATTCGTCGATGGTGTTTTTGATCGGCAAGCCATATCATCGTTAATTCTTCATCAAATCTCAAGATTGAGCCACCAATTTCGAAGGCTTCCTTTTCCTTCAGGCTGGCAAAATAGTCCAATCACCCATAAAATTCAGGCAAACATGTTGCGAAAGAAAATAAACTTTATTTGCGAATAACTGAAAAATTACACACTTTTCCCTGGGTTATGGCCATGATTGTATAACAGATTACTAAATTCCCTACAAAAGGAAAAAAAAATCATCGCAATCGGACAATTTTTAGCAAAGATACAGCTTACTGAAATTTGTATACATGTTGGTTCCGAACAAAAATTAAGATTTAAATTAATTTTTGTTTGCTTTGTCGATTATATTTATCGATAAAGTAACATTTGATATCTTAATCTTTTGATAAGTTGCATTTTCTTATTAATTATGCATTTGATAACTATACGCTGTGCGAATTTTTCGCACGGGCCTACTAGTTATAAATATAGTGCTGTATATAAACGAACAATGTAATATAAAATGAAAATATTTTCTTATCTTCTTATTTTTCTTTTTTTATTAGGAAAACTACATATATAATGTTTTCATATTAAAGACAATAATACTTCCAATTTCCTTCAAATTTTTTTAATTACATTTGTTATCTCTAACGTTTCGGGACTAAATTCAACCAGTTCGTCTTGGTCTCGATTTCCTCCTTAAATATCGAAGTTATGTGAACTTCACCCATATTTTTATATTCAAGCTTAATTAGTTTTGTTCTGACTGAAGAAAAGACAAAATAGAACCACTGGACAAGAAAAATGTTGTTTATACATCAGACTGCTAACATTGCCAACAAATATATATTGGTGAATCATCAAAAAAACTAAAAATCAGAATAGCACAACATACATCAAACTGCAAAAATGGTAAAAACATTAACATAACAGCCCTAGCAAACCACAGTATTAAATCACTACACACTTTTGACTTCAAAAACCCAGAAATACTAGCAATAGAACCAAAAACAAATAATAGGAAACTGCTGGAAGCCATCGGGAAAATTGTCCCGAAACGTTAGAGATAACAAATGTAATTAAAAGAATTTGAAGGAAATTGGAAGTATTATTGCCTTTAATATGAGAAAATATTTTCGTGTTATTTGTGATTATGTTTATTTCAATTGAAATTCAACCAGTTCGTTTTGATCTCGATTTCCTCCTTAAATATCGAAGTTATGTGAACTTCACCCATATTTTTATATTCAAGCTTAATTAGTTTTGTTCTGTTGAAGAAAAGTATTGATCTCATTAACTCCAAACAAACAAAAAGTTGAATCTTTCCTATGGATTTTTTATTCAATCCATTTTACGAGGAAAAACATACCTATTAAGTATATATCACTACTGTTAGTGTAAAGTTCGTATGTAAAAGTTTTCAATTTTTATTCTATTATATATTTTTTTTTTTTGCTCTCCTGTTAAACACTCAATTTTTACATACGTCATTTGCGCTAACAGCAGCGAGGCACATATTCAGTATGCACAAGATTTTTTTTTTAAACTACGAATTATTAAATATGTAATCTGCAAATGCGGAACTTTTTCGCATTTTAGTATTTGCTGCTAAATATAACTCTTGGATATTAAGCCGTATATGTTGAGGGATTACTGAATTTCCGAAAACGGCTTCTTTAGAAGAAAATTTTCAGACCTTTTAATATAGGTATTTTATATTAAATGAAAATGGTGAGGAAGCTATATTGAACTTACTTGGCAGACGTTTTTTTAAAAATTATTCTGGGGCTTTTGTTCCTTTAGAACCAAGTACAAGTACAGGGTAAATGGCAGTGTGGCCATACATAAGTTGAATGTTTGCAAAGT